TATTTATTTATTTATTTATTTATTTATTTATTTATTTATTTATTTATCTGTTTGTTTAGAGACAGGGCCGCTCTATCTAGCCTTGGCCTTGAGTTATGTCCTAAAACTCATTACGTAGACCAAGCTGGCCTCGCGCTACGAACGCGCAGAGATCCGCCTTCCTCTGCCTCTAGAGTGCTAGGATGACAGTCTGCACCATCAGGCCAAGCTGTCATTCATTTCTTGAAAGTACTTTCTCCGCGCGGCCCTCTCCCCTCCCGAGCCCATTCGAACGGAGTCGGAAGCTTCCTCGCTTTTGCATCTCCCGCTCTGGGCGGAGCTTCCAGCAGACACGCCCCCTTTCCACTCTGAGCCAATCCGAGAAGTACAGGAAGCGCTCTAGTGTCTTTCCCAGGGTTAAGAGTTCGTGGTTTCCCCCGGTCCCGCCCCTTTACTCATAGTCAACCAATCAGGGAGGAACCTCGGGCTTCTGCTGGCTCCATTTTTTTCTTCTGGGCCCGCCTCTGTCCTCTGTGGCCAATGCGGGCGGGCCTGCCGACGGCATGGCTTCCCTGGCTCGGTAAAGCGGGCCCTCCCGAGCGTAGTCCCGCGCCTCTGTGTTTGCTGTGAACCTGTGGTGCTCGGGCCCCGAGGAGGATGGGTGAGGCCGGGCTGGCCAGGGTCCTGGGCGGGCAGGAGGACACTACTTCCCTCCCCACGCAGGGGCCTTAGGTTGTTGCACTTGATGTTTTCCTTTTTGCTTTTATTGTATCTTATTTTTTCGTCTGTCATTTTATTATATCTTTGTTTGGTTTTCTTTAGAAAGGGCCTTGTTTTGTATCGCAGGTTGACCCAGAACTCGCTGTGTAGCTCAGGAGAACTTGGGACTCGTTTGTGTAGCAACTGGCGTGGCACGCAGTTATGTAGCTGAGGCTGCCCTGGAACTCACAACCCAGGCGGATTAGGAAATTGTTCTTAAACAATTTTAAGAACAAGCTTAAACTGGCCTGGAACTCGGCACGTAGCCCAGGCCAGGCTCAAAATAAACAGTGTTTCTCCTGCCTCAGCCTACTGAGTGCACATACTAGCAGAGGGCAGACACTCCTGGGCGCCGAGAGGACGGATCCAAGCTCTTAACTAGGTTTTTGCCTTTCTGAGACTTAAGAATTTTGAAGGAAACTGGCCTAACGTCAGAAAGGAAAAAGTGGCTTCCTCCTTTTACATGGTTCGAGATCTGGTCTATGAACAGCACTTGTAAAGCCTACATTTCAGGTTTCAAGTCCTTTGGAAAAATTTTCACTTTTAGTGTTTAAGACAAGCCTCTGATTAAGGATTGAAAAAGAAAAGCCATGCGTGGGCTGGAGAGATAGCTCAGGGGTTAAGAACACTTGCCTCTTTTCCAGGGGACTGTGGTTCAGTTCCTAGCATCCACAACCACCTGAAACTCCAGCATCAAGGAATCTAGTACCTCCATGGCTCATTGCAATTATGCACATGTACATATTTACACATGCCTACACTAAAATTAAAAAAAAAATAGATCTCTTTTGAGAAGTCAGGGGCCTGGGCATGGTGACACATGCCTTTATACTCTCAACGCTTGGGAGGCAGAGGCAGGTGCCAGCCTTGTCTTTATAGTGAGTTCCAGGGCAGCCAGAGCAATATTAGAGACTCTCTCTCTCTCTCTCTCTCTCTTTTTCTCTCTCTCTCTCTTAAAAGAAGAAGAAGAAAAATAAGAAGAGGAGGAGGAGGCAGAGGAGGCAGGCATGGTGATGTTTAGATACTGAGGCAGGAGGATGGTTAAAAGTTTGAAGGTGATTGTAAATTGGTTTGCTGGGAACTAGTCTGACCACTGCTTCTCCGTGGGCCAAGGACTTTTTCTGGTCTTTCAGAGAGGGGTTCCTGTGTGTTTGTTGTCTTGCCTCTAACTCTTGGGGAAGAGTATTTGAGTGTGGAGCTACTTGGGGACCATTGACTGCAGCGTGGACAGCCTTACTGGTTCCAGCCAGTAACATAAGACCTGAGGTTCGGAGCTAAAAGAAAGGAAGGGAATAGTCTTATTGCTTTGATTCAGCCTGTGTTAATGTTACGTTTTGCATTTTAACATCAAAGCTTTGGTGCTTTTTAAAATCAAGCAAACAGACAAAGAGCTGCTGCTCTTTCCACACCTTGCTTCTCTGCCGCTGTCGCTGGTGACAACTGCCCAGAAGTTAGTGGGCCTTGTTCTCATGCCTCCTTAGGACAAAGGGAAGGATGCTTAAATTGTAGAATTTATTTTGTGTGTTAAAGTTTGTACAGGAATTGTGACATACCCCTCTTTTGAAATCTGCTTTTAACCTGATGATGTTTTTGAACTTAATAAATGTTACTTGGATCAAAAAAAAAAAAAAGTTTGAAGGTGACCTGGTATCCAAAACAAGACTTTGTTTCAACCAAGAAATTGAATCAGCCATCTAAATTACTTAGAATGTTGGATATGAAGTTTACTTTTAATTCTGAAATTAATCTTATTTTTTTCCTCTGTTGTTTTATGTCCTTTATGTTTCTGTTTTTCTTTATTGTATAGCGATACAGTAGCTACACAATGGGCATCTTTGTGTGTGGCTGCATGCATTGTCACACCCCTGTGTTGTTTTGAACTCAGGTCCTCCTCTGGATGTGTGGGACTTCTCGTCACCCTTGCTGTCGCTGTGGATGAACAGATTCTACATCTACCTGGGCTGTGCTCTGGGAGTTACCTTTTGGATCTGTGTCCAGATCATCACCAAGAAGCAGGTACTTGGCGTAGTTTTTTCTCTCTCTACCTTTCCCCTTAAAATTTTAACTAGGTGCATGTGATGGTGTGTGTATGGGAGTGTACTGCCTGGAGAGGCCAGAAGAGGGCGTTGGATCGTTTGGAGTATAAGTTACATACAGGTGGTTGTAACTGGACATGGGTGCTGGGAGCCAAACTGGAGTCCTCTGCAGGAGGAGTATGTGCACTTGGCAGCTGAGCCATCTCTCTGCCAACTCATCTTATTTTTTGAGACTGATTCTCTCATTTAACCTGGAGTTTGTTCACTGGGCCATGGTGGCTGGCCAGTGAACCAGCAATCCTTTTTTTTTAAGCCCCCTGCACTGGGATTAGCTGAATGTGTCACCACTCCCAGCTTATTAGGTGGGTACTGGTCCTCAGTGTTTTTGCACTAAGCACTGTCTTGACTGATCCATCTCCCCTTCCATCTTTTAAGAATTATTTTACGTGTATGAGTCTTTTGTCTACATGTAGGTTTGTGCCCTCAGAGGCCAGAAGAGGACATCATGTCTCTTAGAGTTATAGATGCTTGTAAACTGCCATGGGGATTCTGGGAACTGAACTCAGGTCCTCTGCAAGAGCAACAAGTGCTTTTAACTTGAAACTGTCTCTCCAGTACCCCCTTCATCTTTCTTTCTTCTTCAATGGGATAGTATTTAGGGATCATATTACAGAGAATTTACAGTACAGATTTTTCAAAGCTCCCATAAAAATACAGAAAAGCTAGAAAGAAACTTAGTTAGTTAGTCTATTTATTTATTTATTTATTTATTTATTTATTTATTTATTTATTTATTTATTTGGTGTGTGTCTCTGTGTCATGGAGTGAGTGACACAACTTTCAGGAATTGCTTCCTTCCTTCCATTGTGTAGGTTGGAGAGGTTGAGCTCCCGTCATTAGGCTTGGCCGAAAGGGCCTCTGCCCCTCTCCTGTCCAGCTCGTGAGACAGAGTTCTGTTATACATCCCTGGCTGACCTGCTGTGCACTATAGCCAACTAGCCTTGAACTCTGGCTGGTCCTCCTGTCTCTACCTCCCGAGTGCTGGGATGTCCAGCAGGTATCTCCATGTCTAATGCTCATAGGTATTAAATCTCATTTTTGTTTGTCTAGAATAGTTTTAATGCCTTACTTTTTTTCTTTAAGATTTTAGAAATTATGATGGACTAAGTTAGAGTCAAGAAGAATTTTAAAATGGAATTTTAACCTACAAAGAGGAAAAATAGCCTGGTGTTGTGGTGCATACCTTTAATCCCAGCACTCAGAAGGCAGAGGCAGGTAGATCACTGTGAGTTGAGGTCAGCCTGTCTACAGAGTGAGTTTTACAACAGCCAGGGCTAGGTAGAGAGAGCATGTATCAAAATAAACAAACAACTAACACCCAAATAAAAAACCAAACCAAAAAATAAAAAAGGTATAAATAAATAAAAGAAAAAAGGAAAGAAAAAAGAAAAAAAAAGAAAAAGAAAAAGCTGTTTTGCACCTTTCCAGGATTAGGGTAATCTTTTTTTTTTTTTTTTTTTGGTTTTTTTCCAAGACAGGATTGTCTAGCTCTGGAACTTGATGACCAGGTGGGCCTTGAACTCAGAGATCTACTTAGCTCTGCCTCCCAAGTGCTAGGATTAAAGGTGTGCACCACTACACTTGGAGAGTTATTTTTTCTTCACACCCACTAAAGGTCAGAACATAAGAATGGACAGTTTGCTCTCCATATCCTGGTGGTTTTCAGGATTAAGCCGAAGAAATAGAAAGTATTTGGCAACTGGACTGGAGCAATGGCTCAGTGAGTGTGTCAGAGCACTTGCCATGCAAACTGGACAACCTGAGTCCAATCCCCGGAATCCACATAAAAGGCTGGCTGTGGGTGTGGAGAGATGGCCCTGCAGTTAGGAGCGTATATATGATGCTTTTACAGAGGACTCGAGCCCTGCTCCCACGACCCATGGCAGGTGCCTTAAAACTGCCTGCCTAGTCCCAGGGCTTCCAACACCCTCTTCTGTCCTCAGTGATCCCTGGACTCCCATGGGCACTTTTGTGTGCACATGCACACGCACGCGCGCACACACACGCACACACCCACACCCAGACACACATACACACCCACACCCAGACACACACACACACACACACACACAGCCAAACTTCTTTACCAAATATGTCCAGACTTCTCTCCTTGTCTGTTATGTGACTTTTCTCAGATACTATTTCTGTTCACTCCAGGAGAGAGGGCTATGACAGATGCAGAAATGTTTCCGTCCAAGTCCCACCCCGTGAACCAGTCAGGTTATTGGGTTACTTCCGGCAGATGAGTGCCACTTGGGAGGCCGTGCACCTAAGTCCTGCCCTGGCGTGGGTGATGACCGAGCATCACTGAGGGCGCCTGCGCGCCCTGCAGGCAGCTCCCCCGAGGAGCCCCTTTCCCCCAGCAGTTGTTCACAGCTTATATAACCATGTCGGGGGCTTCTTGAGTTTCCTAAGTTTCTTGTGAGTTTCATGCCCGTCTTGCTTGAGCCTGCCTTCTAGAAGGAATATTTTCATTTGGAGGAAAGAGTTAACAATACCATTCTCTAAGCAGCACAGTGCAAAAACTATAAAACATTTTCATTGGATGAAATATAAGTATAACAGATGATTTTAAATCTCGGGGAGGGTGTGTGAATGTTCTAAGTAAAGTCTATAACGTTTTGTATGAGGGAGTTTTGAGTACCTTTCAGGCTGAGGCAGGAGAATGATTAGTTTGAAGCTAGCCTGGGCTACACAGGTACACCGTGCCTCAAAACAACAATAGCCTCCCCCACCAAAAACCAAACCAAACCAAAAGTTTTTGAACATCATTTGTGTGTGTGTGTGTGTGTGTGTACAGGAGTACACTTATGCACCACCCTCTGAGTGTAACAGTTGTCTTCTTCAGAGCTGCTGTGACTGCTGGCAGGAGGCCTCCTGGGATAAGGCTTGGTGACTGTTGACTTTGCCTCACAGGAGGAGGGGTGTCCAGAGACTCAGCTGAGATTCATCGCTTCCCCTGACGTCATTTCCCTTGGCTAGTCATATGTAGTTCTGCTCTGATTGAATGTAACCTCACATTCTAGGAAGGTGCTGGAGTCTGGAACGCAGGAGGTCACCTGAGCGCAGAACTCTACCTCTGCGGCTGTAGGGAGTCCTCCTCCGTTCTGGGGTGGGACTCTGAGGTGGTACGGCTGCTTTGAGGTTCCCAGGTTGGGCTGCAGTGGAATGGTGGAATGGTTTGTGGTCAGAGCCCTCTGGGGAGTGGTAAACACTGTGTTCATGTCCCTAAGGAAGAGGTCCTGCAGCTGTGTGTGTCCGTCTGTCCTGGAACCAGTCCTCCATGAACGCTGAGGGTAGGCTACAGCTTTCCTCTGCAGGGAATGGGCATCGTTCAGTTTGGAAAAGGTGGGTCCTGCCTTTTAAGGACCCAGTTAGACCAAGAGGGTGAGGTGAGGGGTACACCCAAAACACCCGGAAAGATGAAGAGAATCACACAGGGTCAGCGTCTGCGCCAATTTTCATACCTCCTGAAGTGAGGGAGATGTTGAGTCTTTGTTTGTTTGATTTTTAGAGACAGGGTCTCTCTGTGTAGACTGGTTGTCCTGGACCTGACTCTGTAGATCAGGCTGGCCTTGAGCTCACAGATCTCCTTGCTTCTGCCTGAGGTTGAGTCTTGATGGATTCCCTTTATCTTTAAGGTCACTAGCTCGCAGGAGAAAAGTGTCCCCGGAGCTCCCGGCCGCTCCCTCTCTTTTCAGAAGAAGCAGTCTCATGTGTCTGGAGTGAAGATCTTCTATGGCTCACAGACAGGCATGGCCAAGGTGAGCTCTTTGCACCAAGCCTTTCTCTTGGTCTTCCCATTTAAAGACAATTCTGGAGGCCCTCCTTGAGCAGTGAGTTTCGTCAGTCCTTCCACCCTTCTCTCTTTGTTCCTCTCTGGAATGGTGGGTGGTTTCCTTCTGTTGGGTGCAGTGTTGTAGTTCCAGGCTCCGCTTCCTCCAATGGGGTGGTCCAGGCACTGCTGTACACTGGGCTGAGAAGGATGAAGCGGAACCAGAATGGGTGGTGAAGGCAGGATCCTGGTCCGCCTAGAAGGCCTTCGGAGCTCTCCCTGTGAAACAGCAGCTCTTAGACCATCTGCAATGGAACAGCTTCTGTGTGTATTTGGGGTGAACAAAGGCTGTGTGAACCTTGGGGGGTGGGAAGGGGTTTTCAGGGTGGGTGTATATCGTTGGCCGGGGCTGGGATTCTGGGAACCCTTCATTTGCAGGAATCCAGATGCTAGGCTACGTGACTACCTCAAGTATTTCGGAGCTAGTGGCAGTGAGACTACACGTCCTGTACCCCATGCAGGCACAGAAAGGAGGGAGTGATCCTTACTCCCGCTGACTCAGTCGGTCTCGAGACTGAGATCTTCAGGGTCTGGGCACATCTCCACCTCACTCCAGCTCCATGCTGGTTTCCGCAGTGGCGAAGTCTGTGCCCCACACAGTGTCTGTAGGTTCCAGTCATAAACGGCCTTGAAGTCCTTGTCTGCCTCTGGAGGATGGAGATTGTGCTCTGGGGATAGGATGTGGACTTGAGTCATATCGGACCTTGCAACATTGTGACATGACATTGTAATTTCACGTGTGAGAATCTCACCATAGAGATAGAAAAGTTGCTGAACGCTCTGGTATCAAAGCAAGTTTGATTTTTTTTCTTTTTTTCTTCTTTTGGGAGGTGGGGTGGAGGTGGGTTTACAGCTTCCTTGGGGTGCCAGCGGCTTTTGGCTGTTGGTTGGATGTGCCAGCCGCTAGTGACAAGTGAATCATGGGGATGGCGTCAGGGATGGGTCACCCTGACAGCAGGGATGGTGTCCGGGATGCAGTCAGCGTGCTGAAGGCAGGGAAGGTAGATGCTAAAGTAGCTTCAGAGTTCAGACGTGTGGACCGGAGGCCATGGGTTTCTCTGCTGGGCTCCACGTGTTACTGCTTCCCGGGAAGGAGGGTCACAACTGTTGAGTTCTTTCTAAGAAAAGACTGAGTAAGGCTGTGAATCACAGTAAAACCAAAACCCAAGGCCTGTTATTGTGTGTGCTGCTGAAGAGGGTTCTACTGATCTTGTGGATGTTGTACAAAGTAGCTGTTTTGTTTGAGACAGTCTCTGGTGGCCTGTTCAGAGTAATACTTATTATTTCATTTAAAAAAACTTTATTTGTTTAGTGTGTGTAAGCATGTACGTGGGCACACATGTGGAGGCCAGAGGAGTTTGTTGGCATCGGTTCTCTCATGTGGGTCGAGGATGGTAGGTGTTAAACTCAGCATCAGATTTGGCAGTTAATGCCTTTACCCACGAAGGCATGCTTCTGGTCTTGTAATTATTACTTTAACATTTTTTAAAAATTTATTTTATGTGATGGGTGTTTTGCCTGTATATATGCCTGTTGCATGCCTGGTGTCCTTGGAGGCCAAAAGAGGATGTGGGGTCACCTAGGACTGAGGTTATACATGGAGGTGAATATCCATGGGTTCTGGGATTCGAACCCAGGTCCTCTGGAAGAGCAATCGGTGCTCTTAACTGCTGAGCCATCTCTTTAGCCTCTCATTGTTGCCTTGTCAACGGGCTGTGGGCATGGAGGGATGGCCCTGCAGTTAAGAGCATGAGCTGCTCTTGCAGTGGACCCAAGCTCTGCCCCCATTTATCTTTTCATACACATGTATGCTGACATTCTCTATAGAGTAGCCACACTCATTATAGAGTAGGCCTGGCCCTGTGCTCTCTCCACCCATCTGAGTTTGTTTTCTTCCATGGTGCTCATCACCGCCGGGCATGCTCTACTGGGAGTGTTCAACATGAAGGGTTGTCTCTTCAGATGGATGCATAAGCTGTGTTCCACACAGAAGGCTGGGAATGGATGTGCCTGGCCAGGCCACACCTCTCTCTCCCAGACTGTTATGCTTATCCCGGACTCTTCCTCCCCTGACCCTTATCTTAAGGCATTGTTTCTCAGTCACTAGAACCCATCTTTATGGAAGAGGTCATATGTGCTTTGAAAAGACTTTTGGTATAATCATGTCTTCAGCTTTGTTGTGTACACGGGATTGAGTTATCATCAGGAAAAGTTTCCAAAATTGTGCTGTGCTTAACTATGACTAAATAAACTTGCTGGTGTCAGACTCTAGAAGTTTGAACCAGCACCAGCTTCTGAGTCGTGTTGAACTGAATCTTTTTCTTGTCTCACTTGGATTGACACTCTGCCAACCCTGCTGTTTGCAGACATCCCCACCCCCCCTCTAAGCCTCGGGTGTTGTTCTTCAGCTACTGTCAACCATATATTTTTGAGACAGGGTCTCTCGTTGGCTTGGGACCCTACTGGCTGGCCAGCGAGACTCAGGGAGCCATCTGTCTCTGACTTCGGGACACTGGGATTCTGAATACATACACTGGTTTTACTGTTTTGTTTTTTTTTTTTTTATATTTAAATTTAAACTTTATTTATTTAGGTTTTTTTGAGACAGGGTTCTCTGTGTAGTCTTAGCTGTCCTGGACTCACTTTGTAGACCAGGTTGGCCTCGAATTCACAGAGAGCTGCCTGCCTCTGCCTCCCCAAGTGCTGGGATCCCAGGTGGGCTCTGCTGCACCCGGCTGACATTTATTTGTGTGTGTGTGTCCGTGGATCTGTATGTGCCACAGTGTACAAGTGGACGTCAGAGGACGAATTTGGGAGTTTGTGCTCATTTTCCACTTGGTCTAAGAGTGGGTCTTTGTTGTTTAAGGCTGTGGACTCCAGGCCATTGAGCCTGCTAGCTTCTGGGGCTGTCTCTACATCCCATCTTGGAGCACGGGAACTCCAGTGTGTGCTGTTGTGCCCGATTTTCCACACACCCTTGGGATCTGAACTCAGATCTTCACACTTAGGTGGCACATACTTTATCCACGGAACCGTCTCCCCAGTCTACATGTTTTTTTGTAAACAAACACTCTTTTATTATATTTATTTAGTGTATGTGTACACGCACATGTGCGTGTGTGTGGAGGTCAGAGGACAGCTGTGACTCAGTGCCTCATCTCTGTTCTGGGTGTGCTGATGATGGACAAAGTTGCTGGGGAAGCACCCACCGCAAGGGCTGCCAGGCGCCCTTGCCAGCTGGAGCAAACAGCAGCCACGCTTTCCTTATTCGCCATACTGAAGGGTTTATTCTTTTTTTCCCTCTTTTTAGGGGTTTGCAGCGATTCTCGCCAAAGCAGTGACCTCTCTGGACCTGCCGGTGGCCGTTGTTAATCTGAAGGAGTATGACCCAGACGACAGCCTGCTAGGAGAGGTTGTATTTGCCTTATTTTTTCTTCATTTAAAACTCCTCCCTGGGTTCCCAGCACTCAGGGAGGCAGAGGCAGGTGGATCTCTGTGAGTCCAGGCCAGCCAAGGCTACACAGAGAAACCCTGTGTTGAAAACAATAACAACAACAAAAACCCCAAAACAAAAAACAAAAAAAAAAAAAATTGGGGCTGCAGTGATGGTTCATTAGTTAAGAACTGCAGTGGCCCTTGCAGAGGATCCAGGTTCGGTTCCTAGCGCCCACATCAGGTGGCTCATAGCTGTTCACAACTCCAGCTCCAGGGAATGTGAGGCCCTCTTCTGGCCTCATTTGAACACTTGCACTCATGTGCACACACCCACACACAACCACACATACACACAATTAAAATAAAGGTTTAAAATCCAAATTTAATTGACCACCTGTCCTGTGGGGTAGTTAGAATCTCCAGAATAAAGTAAATTTTTATGCTGAACCATTTCAACTGGAAGCTTTTTCATTATGACTCTGAAACTCTTATTTGTTGAGTCAAGATCCTGCCCTGTAGCCCTGGCCTGACCTCGGCCTTAAGCAGTCCCATTGCCTTTGCCTCAGAGTGCGCTGGGATTCCCGGCATACCACTGTGCTCAACAGCAGCATTCAGATAGACCAACTTCACTTAGACAACTGATACCCTGTATACTATTATTTTTTAAAGATTTATTATGTCCTTTTATTTTTTGACTATTGGTATGTGTCCGCCTGCAGGAGCACCTGTGTGTGCCTGGTGCCCATGGAGGCCAGCAGAGGGCGTTGTTGAACCCCCTGAAACTGGAGTTAGGGCTGGTTCTAACCCACCCTGTGGCTTCGCGGAATAGACCCTGGGTCCTCTGTAAGAGCAGCGGGCACTCTTACCCACGACGTCATGTCTCAGCCCTCACTGAGACATGTATTCTCATAATCGTTCTTATCTCTAATATCCTTCTGACATAAATACTGTTTTATTTAGATCTCTAGTAAAAATGTCTGTGCCTTCCTGGTTGCTACGTACACCGACGGCCGTCCTCCAGAGAGTGCAGAGTGGTTCTGCAAGTGGTTAGAGGAAGCAGCTAACGACTTCCGCTTTGGCAAAACCTACCTGAAGGGTTTGAGATACGTGGTATTTGGCCTGGGAGACTCCGCCTACCGGAGCCACTTCAACAAGGTAGGTAGTGCGGTGAGTTATAGGACAAGGTCCTTCTTTAGCCATAAGACAGGCAGGCAGGCGAGGTCTCATGTTACGTGTGTGAGAGCTAACCTACAGTATTGCTGCCTAATAATTGTTATTTTTAAATTTTTACTGTGTGTGTGGGGGGGGTATTTTGCCTGCATGGATGTCTACACCACTTGTATGCCTGGTCTTTGCAGTGATCAGAAGGTATTTGATATCATGGAACTAGGATTACAGACATGTGAGCAGCTGTGTGGATGCTGGGAATTGAATGTGGGTCCTTTGGAAGAACAACCAGTTCCCTTAACTGCTGAGCTATCTCTCCAGTCCCAATAATCATAAATTATTACATTAATATTGTTCCTTTATGGTGCTGGTGATGGAGCCCAGGGCCTTAAGCATGCTAAGCAAGTACCTTGCTGCTCAACCAAGGCCCTCGCCCCTCCCTGGGGGATTCTAAGCAGGTAGTGTACCGCTGAGCCACACCCCAGACTCTTACTGGGAGATTCTAGGCAGGGGGTCTACCACTGAGCCACACCCCCAGCACCTCATTTGGGATTTTAGGCAGATGTTTTTGCTCCATTCCTAGCCAGGATGGTCTTGAACTTCTGATCCTTCTGCCTTCATCTCAGAGTTCCAAGAAAGCAGATGTGTGTGCCACCACATATGACTTAAGCAGTGCTGAGGACTGAACCCTGGGTCTCAGGCAAGAGCTCTATCCCTGAGATAGATCTCCATCCTTTTTATTTTTGGACCGAGTCTCATAAGAAGCCTTGGACCTGAGGTCTTTCCACCTCCACCTCCTGAGTAGCTAAGCTGACAGGCCTGTGCCATCAGGCCCAGCTTAGAACTTGAAGATCGTTATTTGGACCCGTGCTGTGCTCCTCAGCAGAAACTCCTGAGTAGCGGCCCTGAGTCACTGGGTTTCTGCGGTGCCATCTGGAAGCTGCTTTAGAGGATGAATTGGATTTTTTTTAAAAGATTTATTTATTTATTATTTATATAGTATTTTTGCCTGTATGTGCCACGGGCCGTCCCAGTCGGGCTCCCATCTTCCGTGGGAGAACAGGGCTTTGGATAGGAAGACACGGTTTCGGCGAAAAATTGACAGACAGAGACACCTTGACGGTTTTGACTCTTCTGCAACTTTACTGAAATCAAGCTAGTATTTTTATAATGATTCCACAAAAGACACCTTAAAGTTGGCCTACTTCCCAGAACATTCAGACTTTTACCAAGAATACAAAGTTTACATTTTAACTCAAAATGCAGTCAAACATAAAGCAGTGCCCACAAGAAATCTTGGCCTAAAAACTTTTTGATCAGAGCAAACAAAGAAAAAGAAACCTCAAATGCAGCTTCATTATTGCTAACCAGTGAAGAGGAAAGTCAGGAGCTAAGTCAGATTCCTGCCAAAGTCCCTCTCTATATCAAAATCTAACTACACCTTTGTTAACCATCCTCCCATATGTCCTGCTTAAGATTTATAATCTTCCTTAGAAACAAGGCACTGAACGGAGGGGAAACTCCTGCCAGCTGCACCTCTCATGCTATTATTTTTTAAGAAGGAGCCTATTATTTTTTCACTATTCTTAATGCCTATTAATACTAAATCTAATTCATGACTTTTTTTAAACTTATTATTTTTATTAAAGCCTTTAACAATCTATTAATAATAAATTCCTTTATAAAATTAGTTGTGCTGTTTTAGGAGTCACAGAGAAAGATCAAAGAATTCATTATTCCAGCCCCAGAGCCACAACTGAAAAAACGTAGAAATCTCAGAACACGTCTCTTTTCCAAGTGGGATGAGTCTGCCAGGGACCTTCCAGGGGGCGAATTTCCGGAGAAAGCGTATCCCCCGCTCTGTAGCTTATGCTACTATGGCGACACTGGCGTAGGTGTAGCATGTATGTGTGCCGGCAGACCAGAAGAAGGTACCAGATCTCATTATAGATGGTTGTGAGCCACCATGTGGTTGCTGGGAATTGAACTCAGGACCACTTAGGAAGAGCAGTCAGTGCTCTTAACCTCTGAGCCATCTCTCTAGCCCTGAATTGGATTTTTAGTTTGTGTATTTGTGCGTTGTGGTTCCTTTAGTCTCTCTCTCTCTCTCTTCCCTGAAGGTCAGCACAAATGTTGACAAATGGCTTTGGATGCTCGGCACCCAACGGGTACTGACCCGAGGGGAGGGCGACTGCAACACAGTTCAGAGCAAACATGGCAGCATTGAGGCCGACTTCACAGCCTGGAAGACCAAGTTCATCTCCCGGCTGCAGGCCCTGCAGAGAGGGGAGAAAAAGGTCTGTCACAGGGACTGCAAGAAAGGGAAGTGCGAGTCGACCCAGCCCGGCCCAGGAGAGATGCGGCCTCACCTGCAAGGCGAATTGCATCCCAGGGATGCTGAGGTATGTGCTTATGCTCCTTTCTTACTATGTGTGACACACACACACACAGCGAAAGCGATTGAGTGCATGTGAGTCTGTCCTGTGTGTGACTGTGTGGGATGCCTGGCTTTACCTCTGCCCTGGTTAGAAGATCTGAAACTCGGGGCAGCTGTTTCAGAGAGAGAGAGAGAGTGCAGTGAATGCTGGCCATGTGCTGAGTGTACATCTCCTTTTCCCTCCTCCCTTCTCCTTCCTGCTTTCCCGCTTCTTGCTTCTCTTCCTCCCCTGCTGTCTCCCTCTTCCTTCTCTTCATTCTTCTTACCCCATCCCACTCTTGTCTTCCTTCCTTCATTTTTTTCCTTTCCTCCTTCCTTTTTTTCCTTCCTTCCTTCCTTTCTTTCTCCTTTCCTGCTTCTCTCTTTCTCTGTTCTCCTTCCCATTTGTTTGACAGGGTCTGGCTGTGTATCCCAGGCTGGCCTGGAACTCATCACAAGGCTGAAGCTAGCCTCAGTTTACCAGCACTGGGCCTTAAAGCTCAGGACCACGAGACTCATTCTTGTCCCTTTACTGCTGCATTGCTGAGTTAGGCAGAATCCTACCATCTTCCTCAGGTCAAGAAATGGAAGCTAAGAGGAGTGACACATGTCTCAGTCTGAGCTTCCCAGGTCACACCCTTCCTGACCCCAGTGGCTGCAGCTCACTTTTGCTGGAGCAGCAGAGCATTCTGGGTTCACCTGTCCACTCCCTCAGCCTTTAAACATCATTCTTTGTTGCTTCTGCACACAGCCACTTCCTTCCTTTCTTCAGGCTGCACAGTGGCTGCTGCTGTCACAGCTGGGGTCTTCTGGCCGCCCGCCTGGCCACTTTCCCCTGGAGCAGCTTTGAATGTTGGCCTACTCTGTCTTTTTTTTCCCACTCTCAGTCCGGTCATTAGGGGAGGCTTAAATGTCCCTGTAAACTGTCAGCCCACCTCCCTAGATGGCTGCTCCTAGCCCTCACACCCGTGTCGATCAACCATGTTGTTATGTTTGTTTCCTGTTTCCTTCCGTAAAGGTGGTGGAGGGCTTCCTTCCTTCCTTCCTTCCTCTTTCTCTCCCTCCCTCCTTCCTTCTCTCTCTTTCTTACTTTCTCTCTCTCTCTCTCTTTCACAGTCTCCTTTTCTACACGAGTCAGGCCCCCCCACACACACCCTTGCAGCTACAGAAGTACAAAGTCACACTTGCCAAAGGAGTTCGTTTCCTTCCAGTTTCTGTGGCTCTGTGGACTGAATGGGATCGCAGGTCTTGCCAGTATATATCCAGCCCACCAATTTTTATTTGCTTTAGGTAGGGTCTCATATGGTTGGCTTTTAACTTGACACATAACTGAGGGTAAATTCCAGATCCTCTGCCCAGCATGCTGGGGTCACACAGGTAGCCATCTTAATTTTCTTTTCCTTTTTCTTTCTTTCTTTCTTTTTTCTTTTTATTTGGTGATAAGGTCTCATCAGGTTGCCCAGGCTGCCCTTGAACTCACTCTTTAGCCCAGGTTGAGTGTGGATTTTTCCTGCCTTAGCTTCTCGAATAATGGGGATCACAGGTAGACACAGGCTAGATTGCTCTCTTTTTAGACAATATTTTGTTTAAAGTTTTTATTTTTCCCCTGTTTCCATGTGTGTGTATGTGGTACATGTGTGTATGTATGCATGTTTTTGCATGTTTGTGGGCATATGTATGTCTTTAGGGGTATGTACACATGTGGATGGGCACATCAATGCCAGAGGTTGATGTTGGGAATTGTCTTTGGTTGCTCTTGTAACATATTCATTGAGGCAGGGTATCTCAATCAAACCCAGAGCTCAGAGAGGTATGGCTCGTCTCCCTTGCCGGCTTGCTCTGCAGTCCAGCCAGGCTGGAATACCGGTGGGCAGCCATTTTGTCCAGCATTTATGTGGATTCTTGGTATCTGAACTCAGGTCCTCATGTTTGCTCAGCAAGCACCTCAACCACTGAACAGTTTCCCAGCCCCTTTCAACCACTTGAGAAGCCTCTGCCATTTTCCTTCCAGGATGTGACCTGCCAGTCTCCCCTAACCTCATGCTTTGTCTCCCAGTCTGCTGGTGACTTTTCAGTGGCTTCTTGTTGCTGTGTTCCACTTCCCACCAACTTAGGTGACTTTGTAAATCCACACTTAGAGCTTTGGTCAGTTGTTCCATGACAGGCAGCCTACTATGGCTGCTCCTCCCTGAAGCCTTTAGCACAGAGTGGGCACTTTACGATACCTGTACCCTTATGTTGCTGTCGTTGGACTGGAAGCTTTCTGGGGAAGAAGGAGATGCTTCATATTAACTTTCTAATCCCAGTGGCTTTCATGAATTACATTAACCTTCTTGCTTTGTTTTTGTTTTGTTTTGTTTTTTTGAGACAGGTTTTCTCTGTGTAGCCCTGGCTGCCCTGGACTTACTTTGTAGACTAGGCTGGCCTCGAACTCACAGAGATCTACCTGCCTCTGCCTCCCAGAGTGCTGGGATTACAGGAATGTGCCACCATGCCCAGCTATTTTATTTTATTTTTTTTATTTTATTTTTTAAGTTCATTTATTTAAACAAATTTTGTTTTTGTGTGTGGGTCTCTTGCCTGCAAGTCTATTTATGCAACACATGCAGTATTCTGTGGAAGCCAGAGGCCACTGTGAGCTACAGTGTGGATGCCAGGAACCCATCCCAGGTTTTCTTCAAGAGCAGCCAGTGCTTTTAACGGCTGAGCCATCTCTTGAGTCCTCTGCATTCATCTTTTATTGAAGACAGGCTTTACATTTTCTGAAGGTCACAGAGCCAAGTTAATGGCAGTTCTGATTAGATTTTATGTGACGATGAAATGAGGTCCTTGGAGAGACAGTAAGTCCGTTTCTGTCAGAGATGAGGTTCTGAGCATGAGTTACAGAGGAGCCCGAGATAGTCAGCTAAATGTCTTGACAGCTAAATGCCACCTGCTGCCAGTTTTAAATTTTTAATTAAATTGATTAATTTTGAGACAAGGTCTCGTAGCTCTGGTGGCATTGATATTTACTGAGGTAGACCTTGAACTTCTGATCCTCCTGCCTCCACCGTCAGTGTGCTGAGGCTCTTGCTGTGTGTTTATCTAGTGCTGGGGTTGGAACCCAGGGCTCTGTCCATGTTATGGACACACTCTGCTAGCCTGTCTACATCTCTAGACCTCCTTTTTCTTTAAGGGTTTGGGGGTCACAACTGTGCTCATTCCCTCTGTTCTGGCACAGCAGCATCTGTGTTAAGAGCGGCAGAGCACTATACCTGAGGTGGGATTGTTTATTTTGCCAGAAATATTCACCTTTGGCCCTTTACACAGCACGAAATTGAAGTCGCCTCACCACACTTGCCTGCAGGCCCTAGGCTCCGATACTAGCACTCAGGGAGGCAGAGGCAGGTGGATCTCTGAGTTTGAGGCCAGCCCGGTCTACAAAGCAAGTCCAGGACAGCCAACGCTACACAGAGAAACCCTGTCTCGGAAAAAACCAAAACCAGACAAACAAACAAACAAAAGAGCTGTGTTGTGAGCAGTGAGATTTTTCAGGCTGGTCCAGTGTTGGGTGGACATCACCACATATGCTAAAAGAGACAGAGGGGGCTGTGATCTTCCAGGCTCATGGGGCTGCTTATGTGGCCCACTGTTGGGTGGCATATTTTTATGACACATTACTGTGTTATCATCTAGAAGCAAACAGTACTCTGCCCAAAATAAGAGTATTTTTCTTGTGGGCGTGTGTGCGCTTCCACGGGCACACACGCCCTAGCACTCGTGTAGCGGTCAGGGGCACCTTGTAGAAGGCCGCTCTCTCTTCCGCCAGCCGGACCCAGAGAGGGTCCCAGGCTGTCAGGCTCTGTGACGGCACCTTTCCTTGCTGCAGTGTCTCGCTGGCCCCATCTTCTCTGCTCTCAGTGCTGGGGACTGAACTGGCCTCAAGCCTGGCCCCACCTTCTGCCTGGCGTCTTTCTCCCCTGAGCCTTGTCCTTTCTGTTTTCCCATGGGAGCTTTCCTGAGGTATTTGTTTTCTGTCACTCCTTCTTTTAAGGTTTGTTTATGTTCATGAGTGCCTGCAAGTAGGCTTGTGCACCGTGTGGATGCAGTGCCCATGGAGGCCAGAAGAAGGCACCAGATACCTTAGAACCGATGTTAGAGACAGTTGCGAACTGCCATGTGGGTGCTGGTAACTGAACTCAGGTCCTCTGTGAAAGCAGCCAGTGCCCTTAACCATGGAGCCATTTCTCCAGACCCACTCTGTGATGCCTTTTGACAGTGATCACTCTGATGCCGAAGATCTAAGATGGTTTATAGTTTTAAAAATTAATACCATTAAGGTGGGGCTGGCAAGGTGCCTCGGCAGGTGAAAGTACTTGCACCAAGCTTGATGACCTGAGTTCTGTCCCTGGAACCCACAGAAAAGAAAGAAAGCATTGACTCCACAAGTACACCATTGCACTTGTACACACACACACACACACACACACACACACACACACAAACAAGCAAACATGCACACATGCACGTTTAAAATAATGGATTAAAAAAAAGCAGCATACAAAAACACAGTAGAGGCAGTCTGAGGTGTGTGGCAGTGGCAGAGCACCTGCCCGGCATTGTGAAAGGCAACACAAAGTCAACCAAACACAATAAAACACGCAGGGACCCCGTGGGGGTGAGAGATGGGCTTTGTGTGAGGTTCTGAAATTCCTGCCGTGCAGGAGGAGGAGCCGTGCGAGAGCAGCAGTGATGAGGAGTCTGTGGCCCAGAATTACCAGAGCCTGAATGCCGTGGTTGATGTCGAGGACCTGGGCAGCATTGTGAACCCCATGAAGAAGGAAAAGGTACTGCTCTCATGCGTGATTTTGCAGTTGGATCCTGTGGCTTATCCACCTCTTGGGTTCTGGTGTGGCACAGTTACGGGTGGAAGGGAAGGCAGTTTAATTTCCCTAGCTTCTGCCTGTTTTTGTTGTTGTCGTTTTTGTTTTGTTATATTTACATGAACCTTGAACATTAAAAATAACATTTATAGCTGGGTGTGGTGTAATTCCAGCATTCAGGGGGGCAGAGGCAGGTAAATCTGTAAGTTGAGGCTAGCCTGGTCTACAAAGAGAGTCCAGGATAGACAAGGCCTCAGAGAAACCCTGTCTCAAAAACAAAAACAAATTACATTTATTTATGCGTATGTTCTTCATGTGTTACGTGTGTGTAGGGGCGCATGCGCCACAGCCAGGGCAGAGTCTGTGAATGGGTTCTCTCCTTCCACCCCGTGGGTCCCCACATTGGACTTAAGTCAGCTTAGTGGCACGCGTCTGTCTTAGAGCTATCTCACTGGCCTCTCCGTGAACTCGGCCAAATCTCATTCCAGTCTGTAGCCTGTGAAAACAGGCTCCGGGAGGATGGGCAGATCTCAGGGTAGGGGCTGAGGAGAGGGCAGCTGGTACAGAGAGGGCGCTCGGGGTGGATTCTTTAACACTGCAAATGGAAGCCCGGCACTGTGGCACATACACCGTTAATCCAGCATGTGGAAGCGGAGGCAGGAGGATCTCTGTGAGGTCGAGGCCAGCCTGGGCTACAGAGCAAGTTCTAGGACAGCCAAGGCTACACAGAGAAACCCTGTCTCAAACCAACCAACCAGTCAACAAATGCAAAAACAAAAACATGAGTTCTTTTATGGTCTTTTTAAAAAATCAGTCAGACTTTATTACAGTGAATGTAATTTTTGGCCTTTGACTGAAAAATGTAATTTTCTTTATAGAAATAGTCTTAAAAACGGGAAATGAAGTAGCAGGTTTAGATAGAATTCTGGAATCTCTATCTGGCTAAGCCTTCCTTAAAGCTTTGACTTGTGAGGTTGGGAAGACACATTTTTCTTTGCTTTTCTTGTGGTGGCCAGTAGAGGTCACTAGAGAATGCAATAAAGACACCGTAACCATCATTGATTGCTATTATTTTTGGACATGAAATGATGTTGGACCTTGAAGCTGCTAGCTTATATAGCATTTTAGCTTTCTCATAAAAATCATCAAATGGAGGGAGGCTATGTGCATTTTTCATCTTCAGTAAGACCTAAAAATAAGTCACCAATTTTTTTTTCTCTTTATTTTGTGTGTGTATGTTTGTATATGTGTGTTTCTGTGGGGTAACCCCCCGGCCATTCTCTATGTTAGGCTCTACTGTGCCATTGAGTTACAGCCTGAATCCCTTCCCTTTTCTGTCTTTTGTTGTTGTTATTTCTTTGAGAGAGAGTCAAATGTAGCCCAGGCTGGCCTTAAACTTGGCATGCAGCCACTGAAGAGAACATGATTGAAGTTTTTTCCTTATTTTTTCTATTCCGTTCAGAAGCTCCCTTGGCAGAGGCATGCTTTCCGTTGCCTTTGCATTGTGATTGTGTTCCGGCCTATGGAGCACTGACTTTGAGGATGAAAAGAACTTAATGTGCTGAGTTTTCTAGTGAGAAGGTAGAGACGTCAGCCTGAACTGTGCTCATTTACCTTCTGTGGCTTTGCTGCCCTTGAATCCTCATCTCCTTCCTTCTACCTTACCCCCCTTATCACCATCCCTCTCTCTTCTTTCCCCATCTTTCTTTCTTTCTCCCTTCTTTTCTCCTTTTCTCTGCTTCTTATCTCAAGTGTACCAGTGGTAGTATTCACCTCCCACTAAGAACTGTGCTTTATTTATTTATTGATCTATTTATTTATTTATTTATTTATTTATTTTTACTATTTTTGCTTGTTTTACGAGACAGGGTTTCTCTGTGTAGCCTGGCTGTTCTGGAAATCCCTCTGTAGAACAGACCGGCCTCAACCCAGAGATCCGCCTGCCTCTGCCTCCTGAGCGCTGGAATTAAAGGCATGCGCCACCTCTGTGTGGCCCGGAACTGAGTTTTATTTAGTCCATGCACTCTGTTCTCTTTTTCAGCTGTGTCAGCAGTTGTGTTCACCCACCTCCCCGAGGAACTGCAGTTTATTTAATACCTGCACTCTGCCCCCTTTTCATGTGAAGAAGTTGAAATTCAGAGGAAGTCAGTAATTTGTCAAAGTTAGGCAGTTTGTGTTTGACTGTTAAAAACATTTGCTCTTGGGGCAGGCAGCATGGCTCAGTGGGGAGAGGTGCTTGCCATCAAGCCTGACTGCCTGATTTCAGTCCCTGGGATATACATAGTGGAGGAAAAGAACCAACTCCCAACTACTGTTGTCTGCCTGCCACACACACACACACACACACACACACACACACACACACACACACACGCTAATTAAATAAGTAAATAAGCATAATAAAAATTAAGAACTACTTACTTTTTAAACAGATGAACAGATGATTTAGGTTAGGTTTTTATCGTTGTTAGGTTTTGCTTTGTTTGCATATTTATTTATTGACCCTGGCAGTGTATCCTTTGGTCCTTGTCTCTCCTAAAGCGAGATCACTGTGTGGGATGTTGGGTCTCAGCTTGGGTGGCATGAACCTCCTCACTGTTGCCAAGGAGTTGTGGTTGTTGCCAATTCTGGATTGTATTTTTTTCAATTCGACACAGAGAGAAAAGGCTCAAGAGGAGGAGAAAGCTGTTGTGCAGAGGAACACGGAGAAGAATGAAGACAGCGACAGGAGAGCGATGATAACGCCCGCTCTGCGAGAGGCCCTAACTAAACAAGGTGACTGCCTGCCAGGACTGGGACATTCCTGCTCTGTAGGGCACTCGACCTCATGCCAAGATGGGAAGCATAGGACAGGGTTGTCACAGGAGACACAGAAGTCTTTGGCTGGCTAGTGTGGCGGCAGGGTCACAGCATGTTAGCCAGAGCTTAGGTCACTGGAACCTGAGAAAAAGAGTAAGCGAGGAAGCATTTATCCAGCTCAGTTTCGGACGCTTAGTCTGTGTGGTCTAAGCTCACGTGGACTGTGACTCGGTCTACAGTGAGATAGAGCCTCCTCCTGAGAGTATAGATTATAAAACCATCATGCCTGGTTTTCTTGGTGCCAGGGATCAAAACCATGGCCCTGTTTGTCCTGCATGTGTGTTTGGACAGCACCCACAGAGGCCAGAAGGCTTGGGATTCTCTGGAACTGGAGTTACAGATGGTTGGGACCCATCGTATCAGTGCTGGGAGTTGAACATAGGTCCTGGAAGAGTGGCCAGTGCTCTTAACCCATGCGAGTCATCTCTCTAGTCCTTACTTGAGTCCTTACTTATTACATTTCTTTAATTCAGTTCTGTTACTTCTTCAATTATTTGATTATGTCCCTCCACGTTCCTTGTGACAGATGTCTTCTAACAGCTGCTTGCATTTGACCATAGCTCATTGACTTTTCTTTTTGTTAAATTCTTTGTTTCATGTCTCACTTTTCAGTTAAGCTTCTGTCATTATGTCTTTAGATCTGGCAATTTTTTAAAAGATTTATTTATGTATATGGGTGTTTTATCTGCATGCATGTTTGCACATCAGAAGAAGGTTCTGGATCCCATGGGACTACAGTTACAGACAGTAGTGAGCTGTCATGTGGGTGCTGAGAACTGAACTCGGCACCTCTGGAAGAGCAGCCAGTGCTCTCAACTGCCAAGCCATCTCTCCAGCCCCAGATGTGGCAGTCTTTTTATGTCCAATGTTTTAGATACTTTTCTATTGCTGTGAAGAGATACCATGGCAACTTATAAAAGAAAGAGTTTATTGGGCTAACAGTTTCAGAGTGGAGTCCTTGACTGTCATGGTGGGGAGCATGGAAGCAGCGGGCAGGCATAGCACAGGAGCAGTAGCTGAGAACTTAACCTCCTTCTCCACAAGTAGGAGGTAGAGTGAGCACACTGGCAATGGTGTAGGCTTTTGAAACCTTTAAGCCCTCCCCCAGCAGCACACCTCCCCTATAAGGCCACACCTTCTAATCCTTCCCAAACAGCTCCGCTAACTGGTGACCAAGCATTCAAATATATGAGGCTATGGGGCCATCCTCCTTCAAGCCACCACATTCATTCCCTGAGCTCCACAGGCTGGTAGCTTGAAATTCATTAAGTCCAACTTCGAAAGTCTCCGCTGCCTTTTACAGTCTGCACATCTGTCAGGGCGCAGTTCTTTTTTTCCACCTTATGGGCTTCAGGGATTGATCTCAGGCCTGGCAGCAAATGCCCTTACCTCCTGAGCCATCTTGCTGGCCTAACTTAAAGGACTCCTCAGTCAGAGTTCCACAGGGGTACTTGCACAACCGTGTGTGCCATAGCCCTGTAGCTGGAGGGCTAGAGCTGCCAACTAGCCAACATGCGGATGGAGCCAGACTCAGTGTCAGCTGATGAATTGGTGAAGGAAATGTCCATACACATTTTGTTGAACCATAAAAAAAAGAACAGAATTACGTTTGCAGGGAAGTTGGTACTGGAGATCATTATAGTAAGCCAGGCTCAGAAAGGCAGGTGACATTTCTCTCTCAACTATGGACTCTACATTTTATATGGATATACAGAATCACTTGTGTGAGCCTTTGGGGGACATATGTCATTCAAGCTGCCACATGTTCTCTGAGCTTGTTGAGTCCACTATGATCTTGGGTAGGGTCCTAGTCAGCTTTCACTGTCAATTTAACACAGCCTAGTGTCACCTAGGAAGGAAGTCTCAGTTGAGACATTGCCTAGGTCAGGTTGGCCTATGGGCATGTCGGCAGAGAACTGTCTTGATTGTTAATTGATGTAGGAGGGACTAGCCCACTGTGGGCAGTGTCATTCCCTGAGCATGTGGTCCTAGACTGTGTACAAAAGGTCAGTGAGCAATAGCCAGCAAGTGAGCCGTCAAGCAGAGCTCCCCTGACTTTCCTCAGCGATGGACTGAAACCTGCAAGTATGAGACTAATAAACCCTTTGTTCCTGTCAGTTGCTTTTGGTCTGAGTTTCATCAGAACATGGGAAGGAGACCAGGACAGCCAGGTTTATTTGGTACTCTGCTCAGAGCCTCAGGCCATACTGCTGAGACCGGAAGCTAAAAACCTCCCCACATGACATTGGATTAGTTCATTGATTGAGCCTCTGTCATTAGATACATAGCATTTTCTTTTTTCTTTTGTGTGTGTGTGTGTGTGTGTGTGTGTGTGTGTGTGTGTGTGTGAACTAGGCTCTTACTCTGTAACCTTGGCTGAAACTCCCTATGTAGACTAGGCTGGCCTCAAGATCTGCCTGCCTCTGCTGCCTGAGTGCTGGATTAAAGGCACATGCCACCACACCCAGCATCATACCATTATCATCATCATCATCATCATCATCATTATTATTATTATTATTATTATTATTAATTTAAAGACAGGATCTCATGTAACTTAGCCTGGCCTCAAACTTCAGAGTGACTTTGAACTCTTGACGTTTCTGTCTCCATCTGCTGGGTGCTGAGACTACAAGTCACGCATCACCAGGGATAGATGCTAAATAGTTTCTCATGGTAGTCAGGCTGGTAGCTCACAACCTGCAATCTCGGCACTTTTGGAGGCTGAGGAAGGAAGACTGGGGCTACCCAGTGAGACTCAGTCCCAAAAGAAACTAGCAACAAACCAAAAAAGAAAAAAAAAAGCTTCCCCATCTCAGCAAATTAAGCCTTTAGTGTTTTTGGCAACAGGGCTGATTGCTCTAACTGAGTAGAATGAAGTGGTCTTGCTGAGTTTCGGGGTCTTTGCTGTGAGACTTGGGGCTCATGTCTCTCTGCTGTGTGCTTTTCCACACAGGGTACCAGCTGATTGGCAGCCACTCTGGCGTGAAGCTTTGCAGGTGGACAAAGGTATGCGCTGGTTTTATTTACATTATTTTCTGCAACTTGTTACTTCTTTTCCCATTCCCGTTTATTTTGTGTACATGAGTGTACACAGGTGAGGTCCGAGCAGAGCTCACAGGATTCGGTTCTCTCCTTCACCCTTGCAGGCTCTGGGGACTGAACTCAGGTCTTCAGCCTTGGCAGCAGAGCCTTTACCTCCGAGACATGTCACTGGCCCCATCATGGTTCTCCACAGCGCTGCTGAGAGACACTTTACATGCAATACCGGTCCCTCATTTTATTGTATCCATCACAGTCTAGCTTTAGGATGTTTCTCTGAAAGAAATGCCAGCTGTTAGTTTCCATTCTCGAGTCTCTCGGCTCTCATGAGCCTATTGTCTGTACGTTAAGTATCTGGTTAGACATTGCAGATGGCTGGACTCACAGGTTGTGGCCCATTGTGCCTGCTTTCTGCCACTCGGTGTTTTTGTGGGACAGTCGTTGGGCACCAGGAATCAGTATTTGGTCCCTCACGGTGGCTGATGGCATGGTATGCCACATCTTGTCTATTCATCGAGCTGTTGACGGACACTGGGGTTGCTTGTATGGTTTGGGTGTTAGGGGTGATGCTTCTGGGGACATTACTCCATGTACAGGATTTTGTGTGGTGCACAATTCCAAAGTGTCGCTGGTCGACCATGGTAACTTTTTTTTTTCTTCAATGAATTGTCTATTTTTCAAAGTGGTTCTACTGCTTTATATCCATCACTCTCCATAGTACCCTGTACCCTTTAAATGGTCTGTCTGTGTAACCTAGGCTGGTCTCAAATTCACAATCCTCTTGCCTCAGCCTGTCTGTCTGTCTGTCTATCTATCTATCTATCTATCTATCTATCTATCTATCTATCTATCT